TTCTCGCTTCGCGCCACAGCCCCCACATGCCTCAGGCCCCCACGGTTGCATGGGGGAGCGAGGGCCCGATCACAGCTGCTAGCAGCTTTAATTATTATTATTATTCTTACGAACATTTAATCCCCAATTTCGCCCCTTTCCCAATTTCAAAAACGCACGAAATTTGGCACACGCGTTTGATCTGGCGAAAAATTTGATATTTCGGCAGTGTTGTTTTTGGATGGGGCCAAATGGCGACATAGCGCCCCCTAGAAAATTTCGTGCCTAGAGCCCCGCCTGTGAGTGTCACCTACTATGGAGCTTTATCCCTATCTTTATTCAAGAGAGTGGTCTATCAGTTTGAGAGCATTATGTATTGATTTCACGTTCAAAAACCCTGCCCTCGTACTTAAATAGCCTCTGCTTGCGCTTGGATCTTCTCTGTTTCTGCTCAAACTGTGTGCTCACACTCAGATACCATGTTGCTCGCACAGATTTCCTGCTCGAGCTTCGGCTTTTCTCCTCGCGCTCAAACTGTTTCTGTGCGCTCGCAGAATTTCTGCTCTCAGATTTCTGCCCTGCGCTTGGATTTTTTTGTGTAACCAACCAACCAACAAACCAATAGAATGCCAGATTTACTGTTAACCAATGCTCAGTTTTAGCAGAAACAGAGTAGATCCAAGCGTAAGCAGAGGCTATTTGAGTGTGAGGGCAGGGTTTTTGAACGTGAAATCAATAAATAATGCTTTCAAACTGATAGACCACTCTCTTGAATAAAGATAGGAATAAAGCTCCATAACCTACATACATGAAAATGGGTGGGCTCATAGAATATGCCAAGATGCACAAAAATCCTCTTGGACCCATGCTGTAAACCCAACAGGAAGTCGGCCATTTTGATTTGAATTTTTGATATGTTTGAACAAACTCCTCCTAGGGATTTCGTCCGATTGACTTCAAACTTGGTACAGATCATCCTGAGAACATGCTGATCAAAAGTTATTAAAAGCTTTTCTCTATGTCAAGGGGCATGGCCGCTAGTGCGTGACAAATTTTGGCGATTTTTTGTTTTCTCGCCATCGAATTTCGAACAGCTCTCACGCCCACATATTTGATCTCAGCAGCTTCAAACTTGCTGGACATGATGATGGCTCCGCCTTGAACACCCCGATATGTTAATATCTCACCTTACTCATAGCGTCACCTGGTGGTAACAGGAAGTGACCAGTTTTAACATGTACTGATGCCACAAAGTTGACCACATCAACTTCATTCCACTTCTAATGCATGCAGAACAAGTTGGTGAAGCGACCTTATGAACACTGTGAAGCTACGTCTAATGGTGTGTGCGTGGCGGCGTGGTGACTATCAAACCCTCACCACTAAATACATTCGGCTTTTTGATGGATTCAGCGACCTCATATCCTCATAAAAATTGATACACAGGTCAAGAATGGCAAGCTCTTGTATCTGATAGGGGCGTCACCCATGGGGGGGACAAAATGCCTCTATAGCACTTCCTTGAAATGTTCAAAAACCCCTCTATTTTTTGTTTTTTTGGAGAAGGAAGATGAAAATTGGTACATATGTGTATGTTGCCCAGATGCACAAAAAAGTCTCTGCCACCAGTGGTCTACTCCAAACAGGAAGTCGCCCATTTTGATTTAAACTTTTCATTTTGGTGGCGATTTTGTGATTTCCACAACTTTGTATTTTAACGAACTCCTCCTACAGATTTTGTCCAATCAACTTCAGATTTGGTACAGATCATCCTGAGACCATGCTGATCAAAAGTTATTAAAAGCTTTTGTCTACGTCAAGGGGCGTGGCTGCTATGGCGCCTCCCTCGCCACCTGATACGTGTGGCTTTTTGATGGCTTCACCGACCTCACATCCTCATGAAAACTGATACACAGGTCAAGAATGGCGAGCTCTTGCATCTGATAGGGGCGTTGCCCATGGGGGGACAAAATGCCTCTATAGCGCCCCCTTGACATTTTCAAAAACCTCTCCCCATAGGGTTTTTTTTTGGAGTAGGAAGATGAAACGTCACACCACGTCAGGGTTAACTTACTCTGAGTTTTCACATAACCGCTTCAGATATGCATGCTGCTGGTCCCCCGCGGTGGCGCGGGAGAGAGAGGGCCTTATCACAGCTTCAAATATTATTATTATTAGGGCCCGAGCACCGACCGAAGGCCGGGTGAAGGTCCTGTTGAAATTGAAGGAAATATTATTATTATTAGGGCCCGAGCACCTAGCAGTGCGAGGACCCTATTGAAATGCAAGGATTTATTATTAGGGCCCGAGCACCGACCGAATGCCGGGCACAGGCCCTATTGAAACGGAAGGAATTATTAGGGCCCGAGCATTGACCGACGGCCGGGTGAAGGCCCTATTGAAACTGAAGGAATTATTATTATTAGGGCACGAGCGAAGACAAAGTCATCCATGAGGACCCTATTGTAATCGTGCTGTTTATTATTATTAGGGCCTGAGCACCGACCGTACGAAATTTGGTCAGTATGATGTAGGGCCATTCCTGAGGCCATATATTGAAGGTGGTCATGACTGGTTAATGTGGGCGTGGCTTATTATAGGATAAACAACAAACATTTACTATAGCTGAACTGTTATGCTGAGGGTTGTGAAATTTGTACATATAAAATAGGACACAGATCTTCCATACCAAAAATTGTGCATATGCTCCACTAGGTGGTGCTATAACAGATGCCAACGCTTTTTTGCATGTAACTTCCACATTTTAAATGACACATTCATAAACATTATATCCATGTGTTCCCTGAATAGAGCTGGGTTTTCTGACAAAGGCCCTGCCCACTTCTGCTGCAATTTTCCCTTGCTAAGTCACCACAAAAAAACCTACTTTTTTGAACTCCTACGGTTTAAGTGCCATCTGTGTGAAACTTTGCACATAGAATCTCCAGATGTGTCTGATCAAAAGTTAGGGCTTCCGGTCGCGGAGGGATGGCGGCAGATTAAAACAATAGCATCTCCTTTGCTCCCGACTTTTGATCATTACTAAACAGTCGGGATTGAATAAGTACTCTAAAACTGGATGAAATGTTCACCAATATGGCTATGGAATGAATCTCTGATCCGGTGCGGAGCGCAAGGAACGTGGAAAGACGACCAAACAATTGACCCACGCCGAAATGGCAGAGGGGAAGGAAATAAAAGAGCTCATTTCCGAATTAAAAGACACTATCACGATGGAGATTAAGGACTTCCGATCAGAGTTTAAAACTCATTGTGAGAGAGATATCAAGAAAATAATAGAACAAACTACAGAGCTGCGGCAAAAACTGGAGAGAACGGACAACAGAGTTCACGAAATTGAACACAGAGTAGGAGAAATGCAAGACCAACAAATATTCCGACAAAAGACAAACGAGTGCTTGACAACCAGGATTAAAGTAATGGAGACACAGATGGACTACCTTGAAAGTAAGTCCAGACAAAATAATATCCACATGTACAATGTGCCGGAGAAAACAGAGGGGGAAAATATGACACGTTTTCTCACTAACTTTTTCAAAGAGACACTGAAATTGACGGGAGAATTTAATATTCTTCCTAGAGATAATACAGAACAAGCCAGGCTGATTATTGTAAACTTTATGAATCATGATACAATGAAAAGAGTACTACAAGCGGCATGGGCAAAGAAAGTGACCCTGGAGGAAACGCAGATCTTCTTCGACCACGATTTTACAACAAGAGTGAAACAACAGAGAGCTATGTATAAACCCATAAGGGACCAACTGAGGAAGAAAAATATTAAATCACATATCATTGCCCCAGCAAAGCTGAAAATCTTTAATGACGACAGATCGACAAGAACATATGACAACCCGGAGACAGCAGCTAAGGCCCTAAAAGAACTGGGTATCGCATACAACGGACCAAGACCTCACACAAGCCCACAAAAGGAAAATAGATGGAATACTGTACAAGGCAGACAGAAGAAATAAAACAAACTGCATGCAGATCCAGGTGATACTGTTTCACTCCGAGACAATGAGGAAAGACTGAATATAGGGACACGTGAGTGACACATCCAACTCGAATGGACTGAAATATGAACAATATGAAATCAAATAATTTGGTCTGGTCTTTCTCTCTTTCTGTCACTCTTTTTCTCTCTCTCTGTCTCTCTCCCTCACTCTCTCATCCTCACCCCTATCCTTCCCGATCTATCTAATTAATGTAGCCTATATTGTTTTTTTTCTCTCTTTTTCAGTTCAATACGCTAAATGCTTTTATCTCTTTCTTATTTGGTACTAAGCCCAAGTTCAATACTTGACTATATAGGTCGCGTTTAGTCTGTTTTATGTTGGGTTTTCTATTATCCTATATGAATACTAGTAAGGAAAGCTAAATTACGGGGAATATAGCCTAGGCCTAGAGTTTCAGAATGAAAGTTAAATGAGAGTGACCTTTGATGAATATAGGTATAAGGGAAAGGTGAGAAGGGGAAGAGGAGCATTGACTATGGAAATATTAAAGAAATGTGAATTTAATGAGAGCAGATTACATTATTTACTGTTAAGCTATGGAGTTATAAATGTACTTATTTTCTCTCTTCCTCTATACTTCTGTTTAATAGATAATTTAGAATACTTGTCATATGATGCACTAAATTCTTAAGAGAGCAAAACCATCCTCCCCTTTTTTTTTTTTTTTTTTAATTTTTAATTTTGATTTTGATTTTTATTTTACTTTCTCCTGTTCTGTTTTAGGGATAAGAAATGAAAAAGTATTGAATAAAGATAAAAAGTATTATTTACCTTTTTTTTAATTTTTAGATTAAGCGAGAAGTAAAAGAGAAAAATAGACGNCATTTCTCCTTTCCGTTATGTTGTTGGATAATTATGAGTGAGTGTAATCCTGAGACATGTACTGTATTATGATGCAGTAAAACATGCTACAGATATGACTGCGTCTTTGTGTCAAAATAAGGTATTAAAACAGATAAATACAAAATACATACATGGACATCAGATTTACTGCTTTATTTACAGGAAGTAAACACGTTACTTGTGTCCCTTATGAGTTAAGAAATCCTGCTAAATTGTTAAAGAGCATGTTTGTCCTATTCATATCCAAAGAAAAAAAAACATGACAGCCAGAAGTAGAAATAGCTAACGGCACCAGAGAAGCTAAGGACACCAGAGATGCTAACGGCACCAGAGAAGCTAACATGGCTTTTAAACGTCAACAGACTGAATATTTATTGAACAAAGCTGTAGTTATATTATTAATAATGAACTTGTAATGTTTAATGAACAAACCTGCTCTGTGTAACCGAAGCTGAGGGTTGAAAACAGCGTCCAGTAGTTTCTGCTGACGCTCATTCTCCTCTTTTGATCGACAAAGTTCCTCCTCGTACTCTGCTATCGTTATGAATAAATCATCCATGTTTAGCAGCGCAGCTGTAAGAGTTGAACTTAATGAGCTAAACGACAGTGTGACCAGGAGAGATCCAAACTGTGACTCGCAGTTTTGTGACCATGGAGCTCCAATGCGACTGGCAAATAGTATAAATACATGAACTGGAGAGGCATAAATTTGTTATCAGCTTACAGTGAAAAAATACTGACATTTAAAAGGCGCCGCAGTAACAGTTTAACCTTCTGCTAACTGCTAACAACTGACAGGAAGCTACAAGTTCACAGCAAAAACATGACTGAGATTAACTGGTCTCTTTCCAATCATCGTCACTATCATCAGTCTCAGATTCAGAAGACTCTCCAGTCTTGTCATCAGTCTCAGGTTGTAAATATGTGTCTGGATCTGAGTTCCTGGCTGGTTCTGGTCCTCCACAGTCCTCTCCATCTGATTCTGTTTCCATCTTTTTCCCACAATCAGAACAGCTATATGGTTTTACTCCTGTATGAGTTGTCATGTGTCTCTTCAGATGACCTGTTTGAGAAAATCCTTTCCCACACTCAGAGCAGGTAAATGGTTTTTCTCCTGTATGAGTTATCATGTGTCTTTTCAGATCACCTGACGAAAAAAATCCTTTCCCACACTGAGAGCAGGTAAATGGTTTTTCTCCTGTATGAGTTATCATGTGTGTCTTCAGATGACCTGTTTGAGAAAATCCTTTCCCACATTCAGAGCAGCTAAATGGTCTTTCTCCTGTATGGGTTCTCATGTGTGCCTTCAGAGTACCTGCCTCTGAAAATCTTTTCCCACATTCAGAACAACTATATGGTTTTTCTCCTGTGTGAGTTCTCATGTGTGTTTTCAGAGCACTCGACTGAGAAAACCTTTTCCCACACTCAGAGCAGTTATATGGTTTTTCTCCTGTGTGAGATCTCATGTGTGCCTTCAGAGCACTCGACTGAGAAAATCTTTTCCCACACTCGGAGCAGCTAAATGGTCTTTCTCCTGTATGAGATGTCATGTGTACCTTCAGATGACCTGACCAAGAAAATCTTTTCCCGCACTCAGAACAGCTATATGGTTTTTCTCCTGTGTGAATTCTCATGTGTGTTTTCAGAACTCCACTTCTACAAAATCTTTTCCCACACTCAGAGCAGCTAAATGGTCTTTCTCTTGTATGAGATGTCATGTGTACCTTCAGATGACCTGACCAAGAAAATCTTTTCCCACACTCAGAGCAGCTATATGGTTTTTCTCCTGTGTGAGTTATCATGTGTGTCTTCAGATGACCTGTTTGAGAAAATCTTTTCCCACACTCAGAGCAGCTAAATGGTCTTTCTCCTGTATGAGATGTCATGTGTACTTTCAGATGACCTGACCAAGAAAATCTTTTCCCACACTCAGAGCAGCTATATGGTTTTTCTCCTGTATGAGATGTCATGTGTACTTTCAGAAGACCTGACCAAGAAAATCTTTTCCCACACTCAGAGCAGCTATATGGTTTTTCTCCTGTGTGAGTTCTCATGTGTGTTTTCAGAACTCCACTTCTACAAAATCTTTTCCCACACTCAGAGCAGCTATATGGTTTTTCTCCTGTGTGAGTTCTCATGTGTGCCTTCAGATAACTTACTTGAGAAAATCTTTTCCCACACTCAGAGCAGGTAAATTGTTTCTCATCAGCACTACATTTCAAGTCACTGACGGTGTCTTCATCATTTCTAAGAGAGTTTAAACCTGACTGAGGTTCTCTGGTCTCTGTCCAATCATCATCACTGTCATCAGTCTCAGGTTGTAAATGTGTATCTGGATCTGAGTTCCTGGCTGGTTCTGGTCCTCCACAGTCCTCTCCATCAGCTCCAGTTTTCATCTGTTCAGTGTGTCTTTGATGAAGCTGTGAGGACTGAGGTTTCTCTTCATCTTCACTCTTCACAGGGACAGGAGCGGATGTGAACTCCTGGTCCTCTTTAATGTGTGGAGGCTCTGGGTCCTCCTGGTCCTCTTTAATGTGTGGAGGCTCTGGGTCCTCCTGGTCCACACTGGAGCTCCACTCCTGCTGCTCAGGGGGAACCTCTTCTTTAACCACCAACAGCTGCTGGACGTCTGCAGGAAACAGGAAACACACACACACACACACACACACACACACACACACACACACA